GGTATAGGAAAATTTTTGATCGAAATTAAATTATCTTTTACTGGTTTAATAGAATTGTTTTGAATTATATGACCGAGATATTTAACTGTATCTGATGCAAAAGTGCACTTTGTAAATTTTAGTCTAAAACCTTCTGTTTTTATTGCTTCCATCAACCGTGTCAGATGATTAACATGATCAGTAAACGTTTTGGAGAAAATTAAAATATCGTCAATAAAGTTCACAGCAAAATCAGTAAGTTTATGTTTCCTCAATATATTACTTAATATTCTTTGGAAAATAGCGGGTGACGTCTTTAGTCCAAATGGAAGACAAGTCCACTGATAATGTCCTTCTTGTGTTATGAACCCTGTCTTTTTTCTGTCTTCTATACGTAAGGGAATAGACCAAAAAGCAGAATTTATGTCTAACGTTGAAAAAAAATTACAGTTTCTGGCCTTTATCATCAAATCGTCGATTAGAGGGAACGGTTGCGCTTGAGGTACTACAATTTTATTTAACTCTCTGAAGTCTATACACAACCGGGATTTTTTATTTTCTTCTTTCTTAAAAGCTAATGTAACAGGTGCAGCAAATGGACTATAGGACTCTTCTATCAAGTTATTATCTAACAGTTTTCCTATTTGTTCTTCTATCTCCATTTTGTCTTCTATAGTGCATCTATAAGGCCTCTTACTACAATATCTGTCCACTAATAAGTCAATTCTCGCTTCATATCCATTAACAGTGCCAACATCATACTTATGTTTTGCAAAAATTGATTTATATTTGTTAATCAATGTGTTAATTTCAGATTTCTGAAATTCATTTAAATGATTTATATTTATTCGAAAATCATTTTCTTTTACATGTTCATTAAAATTAATATTGTATTCTGTTACTGTACTTCTATCTTTTTTTTCATTATTTATACACTGTTTCTGAATTATACTCAGGTCTTCATTTTGAATCAATTTAAATGCTTGAATTAGGTCCAATCCAATCAAAAAATCATATTTAAAATTTTCTTCATCGATAATATATACATCAACATTTTTTTCTATTTCAAATATTTTTAATTTTAAATTTGTCAAACCATTTGCCTTTTTTACACCATTAATTGTTACTAAATTCGCTTGATTCAAAGAGTTTCTGTTACCTTTTATTTTCAATAAATTTGAATTAATTAGGGAAACGTTTGAACCAGAATCATAAATTCCATATATTTCCAATTTATCATTTAATAACAGTTTGACATTTATTAATGGTGTGACTACTCGTTTTTTTGGTTAGTTTCATTTAATTCAGCTTCTATTACAGAATTATTTACATGTTTGATAAAATTTTCTTTTTTCATATTATCTTCTTTTGTTCTGAACCAACATGTAGCTTCAGAATGGTAACGAACGCCCTTATTCAATTTTCCGCAAATTTTACATGGACTTAAGTCATCATATCTACTGTTAACTTTTAAATTGGTATTTCTTTTCTTATTCAAGAAAACTTTATTCTTTACCATGTGTTCATATTTGCTCACTTCATTAAATAAATCCACAGTATCTCTTAAAGCTTCTCTATTAATGTTATTAAGTATGAATTCTGGTAAGCCAGCTGCAATGAGATCCACTAAGGTACCTGTATCAATCGAACTTCTCATATCCAATAAAAGTTTTTCCTTTCTAATAGCGTAATCCAACAATGAACCATCTTTATATTTAAATAATAGTGCATAGATGACTGGATTCCATCCCTTATTTGAAAACGATTCACAGAATTTGTTTTTCCATGTCATCCATTCCGCATCCATTGTTAATTTCATCACCATGGAACTGTACCAATCGGCACAACTTTTATCCATAAACAATCGTAGTATTTCAATTTTCTTTGCATCTGAGGTTACCTCAAAACGCAAGCATTCTTTTTCAAAAGTATCAATCCACTGAATTGCATTAAAATTTTTACTTGTAAATTTTTCAATTACAAACTTTTCTGCAATCTGTTTTAAATTCTGTCCTCTATTTTCTTGCATATTTTCTATAAACCTCTCAAATATTTTTTCTAAAGTATCTTTTTGGTTCGCAGCAGTGAGTTGGTTTTGATTTAGTTCTTCTAGAAATTGATCTCCAAATTGTAAATTCCCTTCTTCGTCTATATATGTCTTTTTAAGTTCTTCTGTCATTGTTATCCAAAGTCTTCTTGTTTGGTACCTTTTCTTTAAACTGTTTTTGACTTTAGTATATACAGCTGTTTTTATTATTTCCTTATGATGACTAACTGATTGTAATTCATCCGGTATTGCATATACTGTATTATCACTCGAAGCTATTGATGTTATACATAAGATGTTTGATTTTCCATCGTTTGCCGGTAATAAAGTAAATTCAAATCTAAGTTTATCCATTATATTTTTTTAACAAAAATGTCGTTTTATAAGTTAATGGCTCAACGAAAAGGATTGACAATGTAAACTCAATGTGTTGCTCTGAAAATAAAGATTTATTTCTTAGTAACAAAAACAAATTATATTACTTCTTAAACTTAAATTACACTTCATAAAATTCCTACCTGAAAATAAAGAAACGACATTTAAAGTTATTTTTTATCCAATCCTCTTGAAAATATGTATTTTTAATAATATTTATAATTTATTTATTTTGACATTACACACTTTTTAATATGTAAGCTTTTTAATAATTTGACATCTATAAATTAGCCGTATTAGAAAACCAAAGAGTTTTTATGCACTACATACTATCTAAATAAATATTAAAGAAATACTTTTTCTTTACATATATACTCAGTAATATTGGCAAAGAGTTATATTTTCAAATTTTAGAATTATTTTTTTATTATATTGTTTATAAGTGGCCAGTTCTAAGAACTTTCAGTTTGACCCTCGTATCATCCGACCGTTCCGGGTATACCGCGCAGTCTCCTCCATTAATATCTGATTTTTTTCTGGAACACAAGATAAGACATACGGAGTCCGTCGTTATACGAAAGTGCCAGCATGTGTTATGTGCTGTGTACGGCTGCGATTCTTCATGTTCATAAAGCATGTCTTAAATCAATTTTAGTATATTTTGTGCCTCCACTGAGAGTAGCGAACAATTCTTCAAAGAGGGTAAAAATCACGTTTTAATTTCGGGTAGATGGTGAGTTTATAGTCACCATGAATTCGTATGTCCCCATTGCTTTTGATAACCCGTACTACCGGCGTGCCATAGACGGAATGCTCCACGCGGTAGATGGACCCGTCGCGTTCGAGTCGCTAGAGCCAGTTCGATCGCCTTTTTATAGTCGATGTTCTTTTCCGCAAATATTCGCGATCACGACTCGACTTTCAACTACAACTTGTGAACATCAACTAATATTAATTAAGAGATTGCTCAAAGTCGGTACGATAATTCTCTCCGCGTAGGTCATATATCTATCCTGTCTTATGGAATATTTAAAAAAAAAGATGTCAATCGGCCGCTTCGTTTCCAAGTGACAACAAAGTAAAAGTCGTAGATGCTAGACCATGTTTTAACAAGTTTTTGTTAAATAATCCGAATTGAACATTACTGTATCAATCGGCTGGTTCAATAATACTTGCTCTTCCTTGTTGAGTACTATTAAGTGTCGAATGCGATAAACGAGTTTATGCATGTTTGTTTTATTCCTATAAGTGCGTGCTGCTTATGCAATCCTATGTAAACAACGTAATATTAATTTTATTTCCATTTACGGTCTCGCGCGCAACAGATATGCAGTACCTGCTTAAGTTCAACACTTACATATTTCACAAAACAAAACAATGTCGGAAGTAAAAAAGAAGAGACGGCAATACTGTGCGGAATATATTAAATTCGGATTCATTGAAAATCCCACAAACCCATCGGGGCCATTGTGCCTTTTATGACTAAAACATTTTTGAAATGAAGCAATGAAGGCTTCAAGACTGCAAGATCATTTGAATAAAATGCATCCAGATAAGAAAGACAAGAATGTAGCATATTTCGAGACCTAGAGAAAAAGCATATACTCGTTATAAGAAGTAATAACTACTGTGCTTCATAAACCGGCCGCAGATATTATCCGATAAATTCATTTGAGTAATAATTTTGTGCAAAGACGAATTGATGAAATGGCTAAAAACACTGAAGGATCATTGTGCGATCAACTGAGAATTTCGAGACCGATACAAATGTCGAAAATATTGTAAAAGTTTTGTAATGAGAAACAGATTCCCTTAAAAATTTTATATCAGTTGCTACAACAGGGTGCCATAAGGCTTTCTAGCGCATTTAAAAAACCAAATGCCAGATGTCCTTGCTGTACATTGAGTTATTCATAGACAACATTTGGTCGCTACAAACTTAAGCAAACGACTATTTCAATCACTGCAATATGTGTCATCAAAGCAGTCAAAAAATCCGCAACAGCTCTTTGAATGATACATATATTATTTCATCAGCTTTGTGTTACTAATGACGAGGATTTTCACCGTTTGTTGTTTCATACTCAAGTCTGTTGGCTATTGGAAACTAAAGATACAGAACTGCACAACAAGCTCATTACATCAAAGAACGATAGCTTACATGACAGACCTATATAAATTGTTCAACGACATGAATGTCCAACTACAAAGCGATGAACTAAATTTAATTAAAACGAAAAACAATTTGCTGACCTGTTTGTTGACCCAAATAAACAAAAAAAAATGTTACCGAACGTGTTGACTTGCGACTGTTCTCGAGTATATTGGAACCCGATATCAACAGACTTATTAAACAGCATCAGATTCATCCTTCACATTAGTTTTTATATAAGAATTGATTATTGTAAACATTTGACCATATTTGAGTAAATATTAGTTTTTATTTGTGATATTTTTCCATTTCCTCCCTAGCTAAAATTATGTTGAGTGACGCGAGCGATGCGAGCGTGAGGAGGACGAGGTGTGAGGAGCGTGTGCGGCTGCGGCACTATGTGCTCGGGGACGCGAGTGTGGAGTGGGCGCGTGCGTGGTGTGGTACCTGCGTGGAGTGCGGCACGAGGTTGTCGAGCAGCGCCTGCAGCGCGTGCCGCTGCGGCGCCGTGAGGAGCGTGTCCGGCTGCTGCACTATGTGCTTGGGCACGTGCGCGCCGCACAGGAATTGCGCCACCTCCTCACTGAAGTGGTTGCAGTTGTGCTCCAGCAGCCGGTACGCGGCCGGCCTGCACCGACGGACGAGCGGGATATGTAATGATGAAATTGTTTTCCATAAATATACGACCGGAGCCTAAGTTGTGTATGCCGCACCTAATATATTACGAATACGATAGTGGGAAATACTGACGTGTATGTGGTGGTGGCGAGACCCTGCATGTAGTCTACGAAGACCTGGAAGGGCACGAAGGTGGTCCCGAGATGCTCCACCTGGTGCGGGGGCCCCAGCTGCGTGCCGCCCTGCGGAACCGACGATACCGCTCGTTATACTATAGTGTATTAGTTCACCGCTCCACTTCTTACATTTACAACTAGTGGACCCGAGAAACTTTGTTCCGTCCGAGAAATCTGAATGTAAAAATATATACACTTCTCGGTTCATCCTTACAGTCAATGAATGAGCAAATTTAGGATTTAGCAATAATTTAAAATTTAAACCATAACCCAGATACATATAAACTACTAGCTTTCGCCAGCGGCTTCGCCGGCTTGGCCCTAGGGAAATGTTTAGTGGGATAAAAAGTAAGTTGTTGTCGTAAACAAAGTCTAGAAGCGAAAGGTTATGGTGTAAAAATATTAAAAAAAAAGATTTATTTCTATATCTTAAAAAATATTTATTTCTGTCGCTGTCGCTCTATTTATTTATGAGCGATGTTTTTTCTGCTATCATTTCTTCGAAACATTTCATAAAATTTGAGTGAATAGTCTGACTTAGACTTTGCTCTTCCCTTTTCATTTCTTCAATCATACTAGATGCACCGTAGCGACATCTAGTATGATTTCGGGAACTAATGTTTTTTTTAAATACTTCCTCATTAAGTACCGCCACCGAGTTACCCCGAGTCAAGTTTGGACGCGTTCGATTGGTCTATATAAAATCTCCCAATAAAACGAAATATCTCTCACGCACAACGCCTATGCTCTCCCTACATATTTCTCAATTAACTATTCACTGAAGACGTTATTCGCTCCATTAAATCGTTAATCTCCTTATCGACCATAACGGCTCATATAAAAATAGTTCTGCTCGTTTAAATTATAATTATAATTAGGTTAGATATTTAGCTCCAAAATTAGTCACTTTATAAGTCCAATGCACTTCGCGATGCAGAAATAGCCGTGTGACATTTCGTGGACTGATCGCGCGGTTTATGATGTGGGCCATTTTACAAATTGTGCCACGGTACTAAGGAACGATAAATAAGAATGCTTATAGAAAATTATGAGGGATACATCGACACGATCCGTACACATCATCCCCCCCGCTGGGCAGAGGCCTTCTCTACAGATGAAATCGAATAGAATAGGAACAATGACCCATATCCCACCACTACACGGATTAGCGGACATCAACGACTGTGTTGCGCTACACACACGGTATAGCTAGGGGCAATGTTTGATTATCCATCCTTCGTTGTATTGCATCTTCCGCATAGCAAATCGAACGCGCTAACAGCTGAGCCATCGAGCTCCTAGCATGTGCATACAGTATACATGATCCGCTCAGAACCAGTCGCTAATCTGTTGAAACTGTTCGTCGAGTACTCTTAAATACTATTATTTATTACTGGAGTTTAAAATTGTTTGTGGTGACAACTTTCAGTAACCTGATGTGTTGTCCTGTGTACGTACGTAAGATCAGTATTTGTTAACAATTTTGTCATTTTACTATAGGTACTAATATGTAACAATGTTATGTCAGCACTCATTCAGAGTAGCACACTCGTAAAAAACTAATTTCTCTCGAATCATTAAGGCTTATTTTAATAAAAAATATTTTGTCATATCCGCATGAAGGAAAACCTTCGGCGTCGAGCGGCATCGGCCACAGGAGTCACCTTTGCGATTTGAAAGAATTCTGTGACGTGCGCCAAATGGGTAGTAGGTTGGGTATCTCACATTATCTTGCTCCTCTCCAGCAGGAAGGAAAGAGACAACGAAGCGTATTTCGAGAGTTGTGAAATACGGCACGCCGAATATGTCGCGCTGCAGATTCCGCAAACCGACAGGATGCACTATTGTATTATTAGACTCGATACTTTACGAACTGTTCCGTTACGCAACTGTTACTACGATTTAGTAGTTAGCATCTTTGAATAGACAATTTCGGCATCACGTGAACAACCTTCATTACAAATAAAGCTTTCTCTTTGTGTACGTTTCGGCTTCTAATTTAATGTTTATTTGAAACATACATCATGTTCACAATGTTAGTGAAATAAGCGGCTGTTACATGTTAATGACACAAATATTTGGCCGTAGCCGGAGCGCCCACGTGCTGGGGCCATCTATCATATTCATAATACAACGCTGCGTAGTACCTTTTGGCCGTTTCATACATATTAATTCAGTCTACGAAGAAAATTGAAATTGTACCTTATGCAAACGAACATTCACAATTTCATATATTTCTACTGTTGTTTTTACATACTACGTATATCTTATTTGCTACAAGCACATTACTGCTTCAACTGTTTTAAAAGTTCTTAAAAAAAAACAAGTATAAGTACGTACTAAGACACTGTGTTTATATTCAATATAACTCTTTATTTCCTTGCAGCTGCGAGTAAATAAAGCAGCAGTTGTTACGCATAAATACAGGTGAACTGTTTATTGTTGCCTTATGGTGACAGTGGCGCCGCCACCCGCCGCCGCCCCGCAAATAGACAATGTTTACAACGTGACGATGTGTGCGCGCTGCGCCAGCGCAACGTGAGCCCTGCGCCCCCGCAGCTTACGACACAAACGAACACTCTAGCACTAGCTCTACACGTTTCAGGAAGTCAAGTTACATTGGACACTTGCTACGGCGATTTATTAACGTAACATGATAAAAATAACATGAATCAGAAAACTATGCGTGCCGTTTATATGACGATATCTATTTATACACAGTCTATTTATTAATTGTTGCGTGTTAGTACACAGCAATCTGAGTAGCAAGTCTTTAGTAATAACTTTTCATTGTTGATTGACTTTAATGAATTACATTTTTAACTCATAATAATCAGATGTAATTTCAAACAGTGGGACAGAGTATATGACGAATAAAATATAAAAAAACACCGTATGAACACGCCCTAATTTATACGGGGCAACTTCAAATTATCACCAAAAAATCTTTATCTTTTTACAATTGATTTTGTACTTCACTAGCAACATATTAAAACGATTTTATCTCATGTACGAGTATTTAAGTTTTGTTTTTTTATCCTTTCTTTTTATCGTTTAAAAAAATCAAGGCAAGATTAGACAAGAAAGTGTTCTTGTCTAATTTCATTCTTCTTAGAATAATAAAGTTAACAACTAGTTTTAGCTAAGGATTTGTGCGCGTGAAAACATAGAATCAGTATACCAAGAATTATTGTGTACTGACCGGAGAACAGCTAGTGACGCCGCCTCCGCCATAGAAGAACTCGCGCTCGTACACCACCACTGACGTGTGCCACACGCCCTCCACCTGCCGTCCTGCACACATACACACATCGCTATTACAACTTTACATACTGTGTGTATGCACACTATTCAAAGCAATATTTAAGGGTCGGTTCACATCTGCCGTACGATCCATCGAGGGTAGCATAGCAACGAAAGTATGTGTACTCGACGCACTGACTACGGATCATCCGTCGAGTGTGCAAGGTAAAATGCTTGCTCTGGTGTATACGCGATGCATTTTCCATCAATTATCCATCGACCGTTATATAGCGCACTGAACCCGAGTAGCGAGTTATGTAATTGCCGTTTTTACTATTTGATCAGCCTTTATATAATTATATAATAAGCTTATGATGGTAGTAATAAAATATTGTATTTTAAAGATTTTAAACGCAAAAGTTTGAATTGTCCAGCACCGATTATAATTTTAATAATGTTTTCTGAAAACTTTTCCTTCCATTAAAACTTTTTAGTTTTAAATTTATTTATTATAAATGGCCGCGAGCCTCCCCGCGTCTCGTGCCTCGCGGTAAGTGGACGCGCGGCCTACTATCGCGGAAATAGCTTTACTTTCGTGAAAGCTGAAGATCGACCATCAGATTGAAACATCGGTCCAGATTGCACTACGCAGACCCACTGATTGATTAACGCCTGATGGACCGTTCTGTGGGTTATGTATGGCTTATTCTCAGAAAGACCAGCAACACTGGGGTAATTTAGTGATTAAATGAAAGAGTATAAAAAAAAAGGAAAAAGAACTCTTTACAAACTGTGTGAGCTTTTAAAATTTATAAAAAAAAACTTTAAATATATGCTGTACTCTACTATAGATATTGTAAAGAAAAGCTATTAAAAGAAATTTAAGTAGACCAACAAAACAGTCCTTGAAACAAATAACAGTGACGAGTCTAATTGTCTGTCAGTCGCGCGGGGAAATTGGGTCGGGATAAGTTCGCGCACTCTTACACGTGTCACGCGGGAGAAGGTGACGCCTCAGGTGTAACACCGCGTCTGTCTGTACAACACCACGTCTGGTCATACAGTCAAAGGAGTCTATATGACAGCATTTATCAGTTGACAGTGGTAGCTATTGTCTTGTACAAACTACACTAAATATAATTTTAACCCAGTCCAATTATGTTTATTATTCAGTGAATAACTAAGTTATTGGGAACAGATTAATTTATCATACGAGTAGTATACAGAACTAGAACTATGATTCGATGATTATATTGGAACTGATCTATTGGAAATTATTAAAAATTACATAGATATTATAATAAATTATAATGCAACACCAGCCTATTCCTATATTCTGTGTTGCTGTGTGTAGGTAACTAGTAGTAGTAGTCCAACTGATTGTTCACGCTTTCGAACTAAAATACCTATACGATCAACATTAAAGACAATATCATCTCGGATATTTCTAATTGAGAATAAATATGCAAAATACATATAATCTTTCAAGAGTCTAATGGAAGTAGGTAAGCAAGTTGGTACAATACAGAATTTCCGTCGAGTGTGTAGTGTATGGGCAAATTTCATATATTATATGTAGTTTGTCAGATAACGTTTCGCGAACGACGAGACGCTACGCATTCCGCCGTCAGTTATGCATCGACCCTAACCAAATCAAATAAATATAATATTTAAGTTTTCATTTTAAGTTGATGTGAAAAAGGAAATAAACAATTTGACCTATATGTAAATTTTTGGTTAGTGGCGCTAAATTCTTGCTTTATATGGACTAACAGTCAATGAATTAGCAGATTTAGGATTCTAAAATGAATTGCTAATTCTTCTCAGTACAACATTAAGGGCACTGTCATTTGCGTTTTATTATAACACATCATGTCACTGATGTTTTTTTATTATTACTTTTATTGTTAACATATCAAAAAAAATCCAAAAACAAAAATAGTATAATAACATTATAGAAACCTAGGGGTGTAACTAACACAACTTTCATATATACTCGTGTATATATATATATATATATATATATATATATATATATATATATATAATAAACTCCGGAAATAATCTACAAAACAATATTTAAGTGAGGCAATTAATATTTATAACGTACACAAAATGTCCACATGACGTCAATAGAAGTTTTATGAACTAATTTTCACTTTTAAAAAGTTAATAAAACTACATACTTCAAACCAATAACTATGAAATACTTTTAATATAACAAACAATATTAAATGAAAAACTTGCCAAGTATAGCTGGTGATAATATGGAGGCAAATCCATTTGTAAGGTCATATATATAGAGCTCCACTTGGACACCATCTTCTGCTGCCATTTTACTTTCGCTGCAACAAACAGTTTTACATATCCCAGTCATAAAATAAATAGGAGTTACCTTAATTTATTTGTATTGTAGATGCACAACACATATAAAAGTAACTGATAAGCAAATTTAGCATGTATTATTTAGGTTAGTAAAAGTATTATTAGCATTATTAAGTAATCTAATGGTGTGATAAGAGATCTCATATACCATTTTTTTTCTCTTTATATATTAATGATGATCCCAATGTGATAATTATAGATATGGTGCAGGAAAAAATATATTTTCCTGAAGTAATATAACATAATTTTTCAAAGATAAAAATTGTGTCCCAGTACTTAAGAACATATACCTAACTCATATTTGTTTTCAAAAATAACAATATTGGACTGTCAGTTGCACAAATGTCCATTAAGGTTTAATGAAGCCTTTAAGCTCTATGAATGTCAAATTTGTATGGGTAATGTTGCTTTAAACCAATGAAGTGGACTAGTTAATCAAGTTTCATTAAAATATTGTTATGCCAATAATGAGTTGTGAATATTGTACAATCTCACTCGGGATTCTGGTAGATCCACTAACAGGGCAGTAGTCACCTGGTCATAGTCAGATTGCAGGTACAAACCCCATGGACAGCCACCAGACCTATTTGATTTCTAAATAATTTTAAGAAATGCAAAATCTATCAAAATAAATAATCCATTAAAGTAGATACAATAACTTTGTGAGAAAATGATATTGTGATAAATCCATTGAACTACTACAATTAAGTTCGCTAACATTGCTATTAAGTTTATGTAAAAATCAGGGTGCATTTTAACATAGACTAGGCTTTAAATAATAAACAGTGATAAATTATAATTTTTCTGTGTAAGAATGTTATTATTGTTAACTATGTATCTCCTGTGTGTAATGAAATATAAAACCATAGGTTTTAAAGTAAATTTTGTTTATTAAAATGAACATGCATCTTACGTAAATGTTTGTTCCTAAACAATAAAGGAAAATAAATATTGATAATATTTAAATAAATCAAACCAGTTTAAGTTTACCTATGAAACTTACTTCTAATTAATCTGTAACTTTTAACACTTCACTAAATACTTTTTTCACAAAAAACAGAACAGATGAGCTTGTTTCCTAACAGAAAAAAATTACTGAAATAAAAGTTTTTTTTCCAGAAAATCGGCTTATATGAGCAGATGCAAGTGCAGTGGTGCGGTCAGAGAACACCTGCTGCAACCTGGACCTACCTACTGCACTGCACCGCGAACTGCGAACTGAGGCAAGTATATACGTTCTATTCAAGACGCGCGCGCCCCGCACCTCCTACACACTATTTATAAGACAGTAGACAACTACACTCATCGTCATTATTTGATTCAACTCCTCAAAGAGGTATAAAAAATAAAAGAATTGTTTCTAATATTATTAACCTGCGACTTTTATTATAACTATTAAGGGCAAACATTAAAATAAAATACTACTTGGTGTTTCTAACTTACATAAATTTATATAACTGTAACAGTAATAAAGGAGTCCCACGTGATTCTGTTCCAAAAGAAATTAAAATTTATTTACATTATGTACTTTTACATTTTTTTAAAGCCTTTTTTAAATGTTTTTATCAAACTCCATCAAAAAGTTCAGCTGACTAATGACAAGTTAGTGTTGCAACTGGAGTCCTGTTTTTACTCGAGTCACGAGATTAATGTTTCATACTATAAGGAAATAACTTTTTAAATAAAAAGTTATTTACTTTTACACAATTTAAACTACTGCACGCACGACGTTGCCAAACTTACATCAATGACATCGGATGTCCAAAGTTGCAAAATTTGTATTGTAAATTAATGTAAACTAATAAAAATTTTATGTTAATTATCTTTGTTTTATTTGTCTATCTCTGACGTTGTTATTATTATTTAGTTGTAAGATTGTTGGCCACACGGGATTGTCCATTAGAAATCCTGGGAAGGTCCACATTAATATCAACATTTCGATGCAAGTACATAAATAACTCTACCTAATTCCGACCTCTGTTGATTACCTATATAAATAATTTGTCAAAAGTCGTTTAGTATGTTTTTTTTTATGTATTTGTTTAAAATTACTAAGAGACGTCTCACTCGAGTAGCACTCGAGAGATAGTTAATAAGGTAGTTAATTGACTTGAGTGACTCGATTATGAGTTTGAAATGAAGAACAAAAATTGGAGCGTAAAATTCAACTTGTTATTTAAGTACTGTTGCCATATTCCATTATGCATCCATCATACGTCGAACGATATCGATATAAATAAGTAATATATTACAATAAAACTCATTTTAGAGTAAGTTGAGTAGGAAGCCTATCTACTACATATTTTCAATATTATTAGAAAAGCGCAAAAGGTAAGTGATTTTTGCCTGGCATAGAAATGAGAAATTATTTTAAAAAATTAAAATTAGGTGTCATTAACGATGTTCAGATTCAGCGATCGCAACTGAACTTGCATGTCGATGGCGGACGTCGAGCCAGGTGTTATGTTAATTCGTACGGTGAGTATGTGCTTTTTTGGTTTTAACAATAATATCGTCAATAATAGATTGACTCCCTACTCAACCTACTCTAGAAGTTAGTTTTATTGAAATATATTACTTATTAAGCAACTAGAGTAATCATGCTCTCTCAAAAATCGTGTGCGTCGGGTCGTTACGTTCTATCAAATATAGGTGAGCGAAGTGATGGCTAACTTATGTGTCAAGCTCGTCAATTTTATTATGAATATTGTAGGATTTGAGTATGTAGGATTTCAGATATTATAATGGAAAGTGATTTCATAGTCTAATTAAGTTACATTCCAATAAGACTTCTCAGTGTGAAATAAAACAGGGAGAAAAAAAGCAGCTCTTGCTAAGTTTCTTACCGGTTCTTTTCAGTACAAGATCTCACGCCTTGGTTTTGCGCACCATTGGCAAAGTTTTCGACTTTCACAAGTGCTATGTAACAGCCTAGACTGAATTGATATTTATAATAATATAATTCGATGTGTGGATGCATAATGGCACATATGAAAATATGGCATATAAAAAAAACAGGCTGAATTCAACGCTCCGCTTTTTGTTCTTGATTCCAAAACTGATTCGAATGAACCGAGTCAATTAAAGTTATGACCAACCAATAAATTGGCTCATCACTAATGTTGACATATAAACTAAACATCGTTCCTTTACACGTAACATAATAAATAACTTAAACTCACAATAAAAAAAATAATAATTTGAATGTTAGATATTACAAGAAACACGAAACGATGTCATATTTTTCGATACTCAATTTACTTTTGTTACGTCAGAAACAAAATTTGAATGAATAGAGTCGATTCATAGTCAAAATCTGTTTCTAAATATTCTACACCTGATAACAATGACAAGGAATCATCAGAGTCACTCTCTTCACTACTGTCTGCACCAACAGATATAATAAATTTTTCAAGTTCGTTTTCAACAATGCCATCTTTTAATTTGTAATCATTTTCGACATTTAAAACATGATCAGTGTATTTCTTCCAGTCACTAGGGGTAATTAAGTTAAAACACTCTATTATTAAGTTTTCCATTTCCTTTCCTGGTATTCCAATGTTTCTGCTTGCAATTTTTCTTTTTGCTTGACTCCAAACCATCTCTATTGGGTTTAAGTCACAATGATACGGTGGCAGCAATAAAAGTTCATGATTATGTTCTTTTAAAATCTCTTCAGCTTCATATACAGGCAATGTTTTCTTATCATTAACCAAACACATTAACTCTGCCTTTGTCTGATATTCCTCAAAATGTATTCCATTATTTACAAGCCATTTACGGATATCTGCTTTGGTATTAGACATTATAGGCGGTTTATTGATTTGTTTTATATGGTAGCTGGCATTATCCATAACAATTACACTGGGCTTACTTAAATTTGGTATTAATTTTTCTCTGACCCATTTCATAAAGTTCGATGAGTTCATATCATCATGATAATCAGCAGATTTGGATTTACTACTGAACACTAATAATGCACCAGGCACAAAACCTTCCTCAGATCCAGCATGCACAACAATATGCCGTTTTCCAGAGGATATCTTTGTAGTGACACCAGTTGTTGAAGGTCCTTGCCAAGACTTTTTAACTTTATAATTCTGATGTACATAAGTTTCATCAAGGTACACAATTTGCTTTCCTTCGTTTCGTTTTATATTTATTTCTCTCAAATACTTGTGCCTCCATGCAGAAATCTGGTATTTTTCTATAAGCATAGAACGTTCATTTTCATTGCTTTTAAAAGAAAATCCATTCTTAAGCATAATTTTTCATAAAGTCTCACGGCTACCACTGAATCCTATTGCATCTTTTAATTCATTGTGAAGGCTTCTTAATGTTGGAACAATTTTTTTCACACAGTAAAATTCATTTACTTTATTCCGAATTGCACTTAAATCAAAATTATCTAAAGCAGACACTGTTGGTTGATGAGGTCGTTTTTTCCCAGGAGTGTCCCATTTTCCTTTATTAATTAATGCTTCATTTTTTATCCTTCTTAGTGTCCTTATACTTACATCTATAAAAGATTAAACACTTTGAAACAAAGATATGTTAAATGTATTTAAAAGCAAATAATGATAGACACATACATCAAAATAATTTAAATACCTATTTAACTATGAATGCAATTTATGTTTAATTTAGTTAAGTTTATGTGCATATTTAGCATGTATAACAATTACATGGTTTGATTAGTTTCATGAATTCTGTGAATTTCCTTGTTAAACAAAACATTCTTATGACATCATTGGATGTCAACAATAAAAACCAATACATCATAAAAAACCTATGTAAATATTATAGGAATACTATCAATCTATCTTAAATCAAAACAAGAAAAGAGACCTGTCATTGAAGAAATTTTTTGTAAGTACTGCGTTTCCGAATTCAGCATTTCTTGTTTTTCTAAAGTTTTTATTGCATTTATCTCCTCCATTATTGGTTGAATATCACCATCACAGTTATCTGAAATAGAGCAATATTTTATAAAAAATATCTGTTTAGTTAATTACAGAAAATTAAAACGAAAGTATCAAAATTATAATACAAAACTAACCTAAAAAAGATACAACTTTATCTAATCGTTGTAATTTCTCCATGAAATTTTTATTTAATTCAGTTTTCACTTCAGTAAACTTGTCAATCATGATGGAAAGAAGTTTCCTCGATGAACTTTTTATCGGCTTCGACATAATTTTTAACCAAAAACACAAGTTCAAATTCGCAAAAACAACAAAATTCAATATTCTTGAATTGTCTAACGTAGTGTCAAACTGACAGTTCTATGTTGTTGCCATATGAAAACGGAAAAATAGGTGGTGTCACGTTTCGCTTGCCAAACTCTATCATATACAGGATCCAAACATCGCTAGTGATATCTTGTTTGACTTCAAGAACTAATTTATATTTTTTAAATACTTCATCATTATCAGGCCTGTGACTCACAGTCCACGCAAGGAACTTAATATTTTACATTTCAAGCAAAGACAAAAAATTCATCCAACTTTACATCCTTGGGGAATGGTGAAGAATATTAAAAAAGAAAATGTCATGCTGTCATCCTAGAAAGGCTGTCTGTACTACTCTTTGCTGTCTGTCATGTCATGATTATTGTTATGTCAGTACTATTGGTATTGTTTTGTGGTGTTATTTTATTTTAAATAAACGATGTCTGGTCCAAAGAAGATGGTAAATATTATGTATTATTTTGGTCTTATAGTTAGGTGTTTTAAAACAATTTAAATATCGTCAGTAACTCCGTCCAAGTTGTTATTAGCTAATGTGAAATGAACATGTTCTCTGGCCACTTATTTGTACAAATTTATTAATCTGTCTTCTTGTACTATAGTTTTCTTCAACGTAGCGTAGAATATAGTTTATGGAAACTCTTATACATAAAACCTATTTTGATCTGAAATCGTAATGAAACAGGATGACTTTGCAGTTTTGAAACAAGTAGTGGTCGAGATATTTCTAACTTTAGTATTCTTGATGTTAGTGTTTTCGTGTGCAGATGCTGCGTGTGCAGTCTGCGGAGGGCACGGCACGGGTAGAAGTGCTAGATACTGACGCAACAGCTCTGTTGTTTGAACGCGTGTATGAGACACTCCATCTCAGCACATTTGGCTTCGCGTTACATAAAGACCGACAGAAAAAGGAGGAAATAGTCTCTAGCAAGTCGCGTATGTTACGTGACTATGGTCTGCAGCATGGAGACATGCTCTATCTGAGCCCTGTCAATGGAACTGTTCTTTTTGACCAACCAACTACCAGTGTGGAAGTGAGCACTTAATATGTGAACTATAACCTGTTTATATAATAAGAATTATCCTGGTACATCTAAGTTTTGACATATTTTTAAAAAGTTTATTATTATTAAGTACAAAATTAATTAACCTGTCTATCATTAACAAAACCACAATCAGTCAAAGTAACATAAAGAGTCATCAGTTGCTGTCGCTCATTATTAAGAGTACTGTGAAGAAAAGTTAAAAATTGTCTTATATGTGCTAGCTTTACCTTGTATTATAAAGTGGTTAAGAGCTATTTTTTACATTATTTTTACTAAAATTTACATCTAACACTTCTAAAGTAATTGTAGCTATAGATAATTGTAAGTATAGAAAATTGTAGCTATAGATAATAGGAAAATATATTACATAAAACAGATTAATACTAAACAGGCCAACAACAAACCATTCGGTGAGCCAGCTGAGACGGGGTCATCTGCTGCCACATCATCATTATCAACTCCTCATAAGGAAGTCCCGCAAGAGGATGAAGTAGACCTACAGTTATATAAAATGCCTGGGACTATACAGCGAAGTCGTGATGAGAAATTGTAAGCATTCAAAGATGTTTATTTTTTTCGTCAGCAATGTATGTATTTTTCTGTTAGACAAATGTAATAAAGTATTAGGTTTTTGTTAAATATGTTACTTAAGAATTAACTGGAATTTGTAGTGCACATACCTACAGTACAATCTTCTGATTGTCAAGTTATTATAACCAAGGTGATATGTCTTTGTTATACTATGTCACTCAGTATCTTCATGATTAGTAATTTGAATTAATTCTCACAGATTATTATCATCCTTGAAGGTTTCAAGATAGCAATTTTTCAGGAGAGAGAAAAAACTACATAATTTTGCTTAGATACCATAATAATACACATTTACAATTTGTGTACCCTTAACAATAGCTAGTACTATTTGATCTAGTATCATTGTCCTTTTATAAATAAAATATTATTATTATAGCATCAAAATATCAAAACTGCTATTGGTTCACTTACTTCAAAAATCTTATGTAGATTTTTTTTTCACATATCTGTATGTTTTATAACACAGGTGCAGGCACAATTCCAAAGGGTGCTGCGTTCATTGCTCACCACTGGAGCCCTGGGACGAGGGCTACCTGAAGGAACACAACATAAAACATATGTCTTTCCATTCCTACATGCGCAAGATTACATCTGGAAAATTTGTATCTCTGAATGAACTCTCGCTAGAGATTAAACCAGGTGAATATGTGACAACTCACTCATAGAAATGTGAAAATGTATATTACACAACTTTTTTATCAATAATTCGTTTTAGATCGAGGAGGTTGAGTCGTGACCCAAATTATGTCGTATAAAAGTTTTGAAAATTTAAGATGTAGATGGCTTTAGAAATTATGAAAATCTTTAATCTCAAATTTCTGCAATGAAAAAAGGGAATACTATCAAATCGCATATATAATTGGGCAGAGTTTACTAATTGATAATTAGTATATTGATACTCATTCATGAGTAAATTTTTCTGTTTGAGCAATATTCTATTTTATATAATAGATTTATTCGTTCTTGATATTCGAATACGTATCAAAAACGACTATCACAATGCACTCGGGGGAACCCGGTCGGCAGGTTGCAAGGAGCATCCGCCGTGGCCGCGCGGCATCTGCAGCAAGTGCCAGCCGGGCGCCGTGACGCTGACGCGGCAGCCCTACCGCCACGTGGACAACCTGCTCGTGGAGCACCCCGCGCTCGTGGAGCGCTTCCTGGCCTACTGGCGCGCCACCGGCCACCAGCGTCTCGGCTACCTCTACGGCACCTACGAGATCCACCCCGACGTGCCGCTAGGTAACCCCACCCTGACCACCTCGTCCGCTCCGAGGCGGACTTCTCGCAACTTTGAAACTTTATTCATATCGGCGAGAGATCTCGTACCGATAAACTGTTATTTAAAAAATATATTAGTCGTCAGAGTAACAGATGAAAGGAGGCGGGACGGACGTCAGTGCAACCGGCCGTTTATCTCCTACGATCGACTCAATAAGCGGGCCATGCGCAGGTATCCGCGCGCGGGTGGCGGCCATATACGAGCCGCCGCAGAGCTCCTCGCGGGACAGCATCTCGCTGCAGCCGGACGCGGCCGAGCCGCTGCTGGAACGGCTGGCGGGCCGGCTGGGGCTGCGCCGCGTGGGCTGGCTGTTCACCGACCTGCTGCCGGACCCGCAGCGGCCCGGCACCGTGCAGCGCATCCGCGGCGCCGACTCGCACTTCCTGTCGGCGCAGGAGTGCATCATGGCGGGCCACTACCAGAACCTGCACCCCAACGCGTGCCGCCACGCGCCCGGCGGCCACTTCGGCTCCAAGTTCGTCACGGTCTGCGTGACGGGGGACAGCAGCCAGCAGGTGACGCTGGAGGGCTACCAGGTGTCGGGGCAGGCGCAGGGCCTGGTGCGGGCGCGGGCGCTGCTGCCGACGCGCGACGCGCCCGACCTGGCGTACACGCGCGCCTCCACGCCCGCCCAGTACGTGCCCGACGTCTACTACAAGGTACCGATTTTTATCTTATATCGATATACGATCAATATATTGAACTCATTTCATATGACGTGACACTAAACATATTGAAACCGTTAATATTAGTTATATAACGTACCCGACTTGAACATAAAATAAATAGTGTACGAGAAAATATACGAACAATTTAGCCCTGACACTCTTTTTTTTTTTTTTAAATAAAGAATCGGGGGCGTATCTATTTTTGGAACGTTACTTAGTAAATAATTTTTTTATGGTCTTTATAATTTGCATAATAATAATACTTGAATAATGTTTTATCCTCCTGAACGACGCTTTTATTTTACAAATATGCCATCTTTTTATAACGTCGATTACGTATAACGTTACGGTCCATCTTGTTTTTGAAGTGTCAAAAGATTTTTTTTATTTTATGAATGCTGTAGATGCATATTATAGTTTCACGTTAATTTATAATTAATTCACACACAGCGTTGAATGAAATAGATGACCCAAATATTACGCATGTGTTTGAATTTGAAATGAAAGATCTAATAAAACGCATCCATATTAAAAAAACATGACCTAACTTTTGTCTCTCAAAATATTAGAAGTATATATCAAAATTATGATGATTTTGTAGCTTTGATTTCGATGTTGATTGCTTAATTTTATCTTAATGTAGATTCAGTTAAGACAAATCATTATCCATCTTAAATAATTACAAATTGATCGCTACAAAATACAATTCGAACCATAATTATGCTGTTAAAATTTATATAAAATATTAAGGCCACTGAAAATATAAAACTGGAACATGTATTTTGTATTCAAATTAATATTTTTCATCACACAGTGCTCAGTATTTACCGCTTGCCATCAAATTATAATTGCAACTACTTTTATAGACTCTCTCACCTCCTATATAAATACACTTAAATCTAAAAATAGCATAATAATAACAGGATATTATGAACTTAATACCAAAAGTAAATGAACGGTCATATTACACTAATAATAGAGTTAACAATCTAAATATATTAACTTCATTTGGAATACTTGAACACACTTTTCCAACCAGAACAAAGTTAAAAAATGCATGGAAAGATGTTCTAAAACTATGGCAGCAATTGATTGTGATAAAGTAATTTCTACCCTAAAACAAGATAGCATTGGTACTTTGTTGTTTTATGATAATCCTGAGTTAGTTTCTGAACAATTGATTAACAAATTGACTAATGAGCTTAACAACAGCAAAAGTATAATAAATAAACCTAGAGCACAATGCATTAGGAATATAAATTTAATACATTTGTATTATCTTTTAAAAAAAAATAAGCGTAAATATGAAAGAAAACAATTACACATTTCATCTTTAAACCCTAAATTACTTTGGTAGACAATAAAAATGGTCACAAATATAAAATCAAACAAGACATCCAACAGCGAGTTGCTTGATATAAAATGCGAGGAAGCTTTGTTGCAATGTAGAAGTGAGTGTTAAAAATACAAATGAGAAATATTATTTTCTCGACAAAACTCTACAAACACACATGGGCGCACATACGTTTGTATGCGCACACCTCTGATTAATATAGATTAACTTAAATAAAATTATTTTTCATTTTCAAGTGCTAGTGATAATAATTTTATTTTATTTTAAAAAAGGCTTACCAACTAAATACGTAATAGACATACTATTCACTACATATCAATAATTTATATCATATATGTACTTAAATTATAGGTATGCACAACATTCTAATACATATAATACAATTTCAAGAAAACAATGAGAAAACTAGGAATTAAAAACTAAAAATACTCCTTACAACCTTGCAAAATAGTCTTTTTGAAATTAGCTAGACCCCCACAAAAAATGTCTACATCAGTACTCTTAAATATGTGATTAAATTTAGCCAACATTGAACAAATAGGTGAGGAACTGCCATAATTGTTTTTTCTTAAATTAATAGAAAAGGGTTTATAATTGTGTAGTCGAGCCGCAACTCTAGGAACTAATATATTAATTTGTGTTAAGAGAGACGGAACATCCACTCCATGGTTTAGTAATTTGTATACAAAAAATAGTGACAGCTGTTCTTTACGTTGCCGTAAAGAAAGCATATTGAACTGATCCAACCTCGGAATAGCCTCTGATGCTACGGTAAGTGCCACTGATGAACGAAATTCTGTTAACAAACTTCTTTTGAATTTTTTCTATACGTTGAATACTGTTTTGATAATAGGGATACCAAACAAAAACACAGTAATCCACGTGACTACGAATCTAAGCAAAGTACAAAGCCTTTAGCGCATGAACAGATTTAAATTCCCTCGTACTCCTAAATAGAAACGCTAACATTCTAAGACATTTATTAATCGTGTTATTAATATGGATTGTGAACTTCAATTCAGAATCGAGAGCAACACCCAAGTCTCGAACCTGATTGACTTCTTTCAAAATCGTTCCATGAATGTGGTAACAGCTAGGAAACTTGTAATGTTTTCGAGAAAATTTGATGTGACAACACTTGTCCGCGTTTAGAGCCATACCATTCAATTTGCACCATTCCGCAACCCTGTCTAGATCCTCCTGTAGCTTCATCTGATCGTCACTGTTGATTACTGTTATGGATAGCTTTAGATCGTCTGCATATAATTCAAATTCAGAGTTAACAATGCAACACTTTATGTCGTCTATGAACATAATAAACAGGATTGGGCCCAAGTGAGACCCTTGCGGGACCCCGGAGGAAGGATGGATTGCTCTAGACGCAAACCCATTAACCACAACCCGTTGTGTACGATCTCTTAAGTAAGATGAAAACCACTCCAAAAGTGACCCGTGTACACCAAAAACATTACATAGCTTGTTTATTAATAAAGCGTGATCAACCTTATCGAATGCCTTACTAAAATCGGTATAGATCGCATCGACTTCTTTTCCAGAGCTCATATAAGTAATTATTCTATCCACAAATGTTAATAGGTTGGTCGCGGTAGATCGTTTCTTTAAAAAACCATGCTGTTGATCCGCTACTGTTTGCTTTATGTGCCACGTTAAACAAGGACAAACCAAAGATTCAAAGACTTTGCCAAGAATAGGGAGAATACTAATGGGCCTGTAGTTATTCACGTTACTTTTACCGCCAGCTTTATATATCGGCACAATTATCGCATCCCTCCAAATTTTGGGAAAACAGCCTTCCGAAAGTGATCTATTGTATATTATATGTAAGGGTTCCTTTAAAACTACAGCGCACTTTTTCAAAAAGATTGGTGGGATTCCGTCGCTACCCGCTCCTTTATTAGGGTCAAGGGCTTTCAAGGACTTTTCTATCTCATCACTTGTTAAATATAACTGGGACATCGAAGAAACTAAACGAGACGAGACTTCATCCACCAAAAGGGCATGACTAGAAGCGTTATACGCCAAAGCAAAGCTATCTGCAAAAAGATTTGTAATGTTATTTCCGTTTTTCGCGATCCTATCACCAAAATTCATAACCGACGGTATATCACTTTTTACTTTACGTTTGTTTTAAATAAAAGCCCAAAAGTACTTGGGGTTTTTAATAACGCTACTAACAACTTTCCTTATATATGTGTTATAGCATTTCTTTATCATGACCGACGACCTTTCTTTCAAAATATTGTATCATCCAGGCCGTTCTTAAATCTTTTGTATCCTCGACGAGCCCTTTCCTTTTCGCGCAACAAACGAATGAGGTTCGTCGAAAACCAAGGTGGATATTTTTTTTATTAAGTTTACGGATTGATACATGCTCAGCAATTATTTGATTTAATTTACTGTAAAATTTAGATACAACGTCATCAATTGCTGAACTTGCTCCAAACTCGAGGTTCCAATCTACTTTGCTTAAACGATTTCTGTAACGGATTTCTCCTATAATTTTGGTTTGAGAAAAGAAATTAAAAAATATAAATGGTGTACAATTTATTTTTGAATGAAGTGAAATACAAATTTTTAAAATTCAATTATAATTTTTATACAAATTACAAATGATTAATACCAAACTACTAAGTACAAATTACCAATTACAAATACCCAATTACAAATCACCAATTACAAATCACCAACTACAAATCACTAATTACCCCCTTTAAGTAAAAAAAGGTATTTATTTGTTTGACCTTGGCTTCGCTGCCGTACTCAGAAGGAGTACGGCAACACAACAAACCGGGGGCTGTCTGTTGTCCTACGGTCTCACTGTCCAGAGTTATAAGTCGTAGACAGAAAATAACATTTATTAAACTTAATGTTACTAAACACAAAAATAGTTGGGCACAGCTCAATGTTCAGCTTGTCTTTTGTTTAAATAAATTTAATACAATTTCTTCCACCTCAACAACAAAACAATCAGGTGCTCCTTTTTATTCAGCTCAGTAATGTAGGTGGGTCAAACCACAGATACCCATCCACATGGAGCGATATAGCATTTACATACGGTTACTGGTGGTACCGTCAACCTGTATCGGACAACTCGCACCAGGCAGCCAGTACAATACAGCCAGTACCAGACAGTCAGGATAATACAGCCAGTACCAGACAACCAGTACAATACAGCCAGTACCAGACAGTCTCTCGGTTTGAGAGGCGAAAAATTGTAAAAAACACTTATGCGACCGGCGCCCACAAATTCGCAGCACTGCTCGGCCTTCCCTGCTTCGAAATCACCACGAATGGAAGCCCACGTATTCAACAAAACGAGCCGAGACACGGTAGACTTGTAGACTTCTCTTCACTCTTAGATGATCAGCAGAATAAAAAAAAAGGCAAAGCCGGGTTCCGACTTAAATACGATTTCCATTTCCATTCGATTCAAGCGACCTGAACAGCTGTTAAATGAAGCAACTCCGTTTCACGGACAACACACAATGGCTACAAATTTTGACCTTTAAAAATTTAATAGGAAAAATACATAAATAAAATATTTATGTTTTATTGAATTGAAAATAAAATTATAGGACACATGCAAATATGCATGAAAAAACTGACAAAACCCTGCATACAAAGGAATATAACTAGGTGACAACTTCACACTATTGCTTTATTTTCTTAATTCAACGTTCTAAAACCTGAAGTCTGATTTAATAATTTTGTTATAAAAATGAGTTTTCGAAACAGCTATTTATTGTAATTTTAACGAATTGATTATATTCTATAAAGAAGGTCAAATACTACTTATTTGTTATTAAAAATAGGGAAAAGAAATTTAATTTGGAAGAAAATATAAATATGTGAAAGTAAGTTCTAAGGTTAATTACGGCTTTCGGAACGTACACCAAGTGTCAAAATAAATGCTTTGGTGTTTTGTAAACAATAGGTTCAATTTTATTTTGTAGAATTAATAAGGTTATTTCTAATGGAAGCAAATGAGAAAATAGTTAAAGTTATAATTTTAAGACAAACTAATGGTTCTATTTTGTATCTTGGTGGTTGATAGATTGGTACATACGAGTGGAAGATTGTCACCGGTTAAGGAATAATGAAATTAGATTAGTGAAAACAATTTTGATGCCCTAATGGCTTTACCAGAAAAATATGGTAAGTTGACAT